GTGTGTGTGTGTGTGTGTGTGTGTGTGTGTGTGTGTGTGTGTGTGTGGAGTAATGTTACCACACAGTGGGTTGATGCTGACAGCTGTGATTCAGACTGTAGAAACTCATCACAGCGAAAGACGGAAGGCGATTTTAAAGGAGCAATCTGATGTTGTTTTTCCATGTTTTTCATATTCTCAGCAATCTCAATGTGTTGTCCACCTTGGTACATCCCACTCTGTCTGTGGCTCTTAGCTTCAAGGAAGTAATTCATTGTGCAGCACAACAACCATCCTGAACATCCAGGGAAGTCTGTAAGACGCTCTAAAAGCTGTTCAAGACAATGTCTAAAACCAATCCAAAGTAACAAGTAAAACCAGTCTAAATCACCGTTCAGCACCAGTCTAAAAGCGGTGAAAAACCAGAGATATCGATAACATATTGATTAAGTATGACGGCTTATCGATCACTCAGAGAGAGAAGATTTCAGTGACAGTCACTCTGTGTCATCTGCCCGTCATTTGCTGCAGAGGAAGGTGTGCCTCAACCAAAGCTAATGCAACAGATCTCTTAGATTTCCCAATATAGAGGTATATAAAACCAGTTATCAACCAGAGCTGTGGAGCAAACAAGTATTAGCTTTGAAAAACTGTGTGAGGTACACGAGGAACTCAAGGGCAGTTTCAAAACAAATTTCCCACGTGTGGGACTAATAAAGGTTATCTTATCTTAAAAGCAAAAGGTGATGAAGACTATTTTCTTCTTTTCTTCCAACAGCGACCTTTCACCGTACGAATGTCCATGTGGAGAAAAAGCCCTGATATCATGACAGTTTAACAAAAAGTCACTTGTGTCTTTGAGAGTCTAAGTTCAAAAGAATCTCATTTCTGAAAAACTGGTACTAAAACATTTACACACACACCGTGATACCACAGCCAGCCATAACCTGATCAAAACAAGTGTGTGTGTGTGTTTGTGTGGTAGGGTTTCATTGGAGGCAGTGAGGGTGCTTTCCCCTTTGTGTGTGTAGTCATCCACCGTCTCCGTGTCCGATTTGCAAGGTGAATCTAAAACACACACACACTCATATTGAACACACACACGTATGCAGTGCAAACACCACACCCACATCATGACTCACTAAGTGAGTGTGTGAGTCTTGGAGAAGTGCTGACTCAGGACAAGACAGAAACAGTAGCAATGATAGATGGAGAGAGATGGATGATAGACAAATTCATTGAATAAAAAAGACAAGTTCAGAAGCCTGATGTGTGACTCCAGATGTCCGAGTCCTGGTGTCCTGATGTCTAAGTCCTGGTGTCAGAATCTTGGTATCTGAGTCCTGGTATCGGAGTCCTGTGGTCCAAGTCCTAGTGTCCTGATGTTTGAGTCCTGGTGTTTGAGAACTGATGTCTGTCCTTATGTCCGAATCCTGATATCTGAGTCTTGGTGTCCAAACCCTGATGTTTGAGTCCTGGAGTCCTGTTGTGTGATTCCTGGTAATTGAGTCCACGTGATTGAGTCCTGATGTCTGAATTACAGACATGATCAAAGTAGCTAAAATTACAGACTGTGAAATGTACTTGTGTCCCTTATGGCACAAATAAAAGCAGGATTTTCATGTAGGTCTTTGAGTTTTGCAGCTCGCTGTCATTTGCACAGCATCAGGTTTTTGTGAAAGCCTCTGACGTCTTAAAGATACAAGCTGTCCTTCAGAACGGGCTCATAAAAGACGTTAAAGAGGACCTGCTTTGCTCATTTACAGCTCCATAATATTTTTCTTGGATCTTTCCAGAGTAACTTTGCATGATTCACAGCTCAAAACATCTTCCCCATCTTCTTCTGGCTTCAGCCTCTCAAGTTAGCTTTCATCTGATTGGCACCTGCCAAAGTGGGTGGGTGGGGCTTCTCTATGCAACATCATCCTGATGCTACAGTAGAAAAAGCTGTGATAACCTGAGTATGTAGATCTGGCTGAGCTCTGGGCTCGCAGAGATTGCTGTACACTGAGCTCAGTATCAGAAACTCTGATCGTGTTTGATGTGAACATTGACGACTGGAACAGCAGATATCTGACAGGAAATAAAAGAAAAGCAGAAAACGAGCACCTCAGAGTGCGTTTGTGGTTTCTGGGCTGGTTCTGGAGCTCCTGGGAGAGAACATGCTGTGGTTCTTCTGTACTTTTGTGTTTTGTCTCGCCTCCCAGTGATGCTGACAGCATGGCTCAGCACTGACTTTCTGACCCAGTGTCCCACCGCAAGTCCGTGTTCTCCCTGATGTTGTGTGTGTGTATGTGTGTGTTCGTTTCGGAGTCTTCCCTCCATCCTTGTCACCATGGGCAACCACCACTCTGACCTGTGTGGGCATGACGCCCACTCTCACACAAAGACAACGCCAGCTGCCCCCCCCCGCCCCCAACACACACACACATATAAATGTAAACACACTCACACGTGTTTACATTTATATGTGTGAGGACCTAATCCAGCCCAAGTGTGATGTTAAAGATGTTAAATCCTTCCTCATCATGTCCACCTCCACCCTAAAATATCACCACTTTCCTCCAAAACACCATCACATAACCCCCCCAAAAATAATAAATCTCTTATTTAAAAAACATACATGCTGGCTTTAAAAACATGTCTTCTTCTCTACTGTGTTTAAACTCTCCAAACAACGTCCACATTTCCTAAAAAAGCTGTGAGTCGTTTTCCAAACCTGCTGAATCTGAAGCAGAAATAAAACTAAAAAAAGACCAAATTTTCTTTATTTTCCAACAAAACACAAAAATTCTCCTGGATATTTTTGTATTTTTCTGATGACTGACGGTTAAATTCATTCCCAGAAAGGAAACCTTTGGAGGAGAAGC